GAAAGTTAATTGCTGGTTAAAATATAAATAATGTAATATCACAAATAGGGATGATATAGTTGGAATAAAATTAACTTTTTAAAATAATTATTTGTGAAAAAAATTTTTTACACATGGTGTGGTTTTACCTAATGGTGATGATGATAATAATAATATATTATTGACTAATTATTATAAACCATTCCATTATATATATTATAAATTAATAAATCTGAAAATTTTTTCTTGCTTGAATGTTGAATCATCATTTATTCATAGTGATCTCTTCATTATTACTAGATGATGACAATGTCACTTCATGTGAATCCTCTTCTATCAATATATTACTATCAACAACAGTACCTAATAATAAAAAATAAAAAATAAATCATTCATAATAAGAAAATCAAAACTAAGAAATGAATAATTAACAAATTTTTTTTACAAGCCAGTCAATTAACTTCTCAATATTACCCTCATACCTTTATGAACAAACTCCAATGTCATTGCTATTTCTCTCGTATCTCTCTCTACAACTTCTGCCCAATTCTGTACATTACCTAATTCCTAATTATGTTTAAGTATAAATCTTAATCAAAAAAAAAATTTTTACAAGACAAAAACTTGAATATATACTTTTATTGCTGTGTTAAATAAATTTAACATATTCAACCATTGTTTAGTTTGCTTGGTATATTTAGCAGATTGTGATAATAGATGTCGACTTTCTGATTCTATTTCACGTTGAGTTTTGAATATTGATGCTACTCTTTTTAATTTATTATTTTAAAAATTGATTGATTGATTGATTGTGTCAATTGTAATATTAATTATTTCTTATGAATTTAATTTGATATCTAACCAAATTAAAATGTAAAAAAATATCATTCATTCTTTAATTTATCCATGTATGTACCTTTCGTTTAAAGTGTCTGACAAAGAATCTGTCACTCCATTTACTGCTTGAATAGCCTCTTTTCGAAGTTGTTCTATGTATGATGGAACAAATTTTGTTGTTAGTGGTTTTGCATTTGTGGAAATGTCATATTACATAATAAAACCATATAGGTAATAATCAATTAGTTATTTAACAATAGCATTATACCATTATTACGTCTTACAGACTGTTGTTTTTGTGTATGTTCTCTAACGAGTCGTGAAAGCATGCTTAAAAAAAAAGAAATAAATGATCACAGAAAATTGCAAATCACATGCTGCTCATTCTTAATTATGATTGGACCAAATATTAAAATGGGTCATACACTTTCAAAATATGCGTATTTATAACTACCATGTCCGTCTATTGGATCAAACAATGTTGAGGATGCCATTTTTTGAATTAATATATAGTGTACATGTTCAGGTTGCCAGACACCTTCTGAAATAAGAATATCACCAGTAGGTAATTCAGTGAAGGTAGGTAGGGTTTCTATTTGCAGTGATGTGCCATTGGAAGATTTGAAGGGATTGGAACTTCCAATCTTCTAATTCAAATCTTCCAATGATGGAGGGCATTGGAAGGTTGAGAAGGCTTACACGTTATCAATATTTATGGTCCAATCAAAACTTATTCACGTGATAAATTGAGGACAATAATTACATTGTAAGGTCATTGGGAAATTGGAAGAATGGAAGTTCCAATCTCCCTAGAGCTTGTATCTGTACAACCGATTTTTCAGATATCTGGAGATATCTGTCAGATTTCAGATAAACAAAATTTATTTCAGATCACATCAAATTTCAGATAAACAACCAATTTTGGATAAGATTTCAGATAAATCAGATAAAATTTCAGATATCTAAATTTATCCAAATTTATTTGTTTGTACTATATATATATGATATATATGAGATTTTTTTTTTTGTAATATGAATGATTGATAAATAATTTTTGTAAATAAATAATTACAATAATGTTAAAAAATATAAAAAATAATATTATAGCTTTTCTTGAAAAGAAATATGAAATTTTTTGACACAATTTTCTGTTTTTTTTCTTGATGTAAAAAATTTTTATGCACTTTTTTTTGGCATAAATACTTTTGATAATAAACAATAAAATCAAAATATCTAACATGACAGATATCCTAAGTATCTAAATATTGAAATTTGATGTATATTTGAATATTTGAAACTCAACAGATATCCAAATATTCAGATATTTGAAACACAATGGTATTCAAATATTCAGATATTTGAAACTTGTCAGATATCCAAAATCTGAATATTTGAACTAGATGGATATCTGGATATGTTTTAACAGCTAAAATCCAGATTTCAAATGGCTTTGATAATATTCAGATCAAATAACAGATATGATTGTGTAATAACAGATTGGATACGGATTAAGAGATAGGGTTTGAATACAAGCTCTAAATCTTCCAATGCTTTTTTAAACCATCACACAACATGTTTAATTTTGGAGGATTCTTATAGTGATCAACAATGTTGTGCAATTGGAACATTGTAATGCTATTGGAATGTTCCAATGTAGATCTTCAATTGATATTAACCAATAAATTCATGTGTGTGGTGGTAATGTAATTGAATTTCATTGGTCAACTTCATTGGAACCACATTTGGAATGTTCCGATTCCAATTGGAATTTATTAGAATGCTCCAATGAAATTTTATTGGAACCATAAATGGCACAACACTGGTGATCGGTGGTGCAAAAAGGTGATAAAAACTGCTAATTGTCAACCTTTACACGAAAAGTTGCATTATACTTTTTGTGCCACAGGGTGATGTGGCTTTTATATGTGAATAAATTAAAACTAAAAAAATAATTTTATATAAAAACTAACATAATTTAGTGTCATCAAAAAAACTTTTCTATGCAGGAAATGCTGATTTTGATAATCAAATTGCTAACTGTTAACCTTTGCATGAAAAGTTGTATTATTCTTTTTGTGCCACAGGGTGATGTAGTTTTTATATTGCGAGCATGCAATCTGAGTTTCCAAATTAATAGGTTATTTATAACTCAACACACAGCCTCCTCGCTGACTTATGGTTGATTCTATTGTTTGACACACAGCCTACTCGCTGACTTATGGTCAAAATTAATAAAGTGTAACTTTTATCTTTTCAGATAAAAGGGTCCCTAGGTTCTATATAGGTAATGCTATCCCAAAGGCGTCCCCTTGAGATGTTTCTCAATAATTAGAATGTTGGTTATTTGCTAAGTGCAACAAAGGTTTCCCCTTTGTGGTTTATTAATTAATTAGATTATTATTTTCAGGGTAAAATATGTTATGTGTTTTATTAGCAATAATAATATTATTATTACAATGTGTTAGGGAGTATTAATTATTAGATCAATAATTAAAAGATTGTTATGAACATGATTCTGACTTGGTCTAAAACCAAGTCTTTTTATACCTCTTGGGGTATTACAAATAACATGACTTTTACTCTAGTTTGTCCAATAAACTATGCTTATTAATATAAAATAAATATTTGGGTCAACTGATCATTACAAATAATAATTAATAATTTAAAGTAAATATTTACATCAGCTGAACAAGTTCTTGAAATATAAATATAGAAATATGAATATGAGTAATTGTACTGTGATACTGCGTAATGTATGGCGCAGTAATTTCACAAAATATAATAAAAAATAAAAATAGAAATGATGTCGTTTTCACGTGACTTTCGCAGTAGTTTGTTTTGGTTGGATCGGCAACGTGGGACCTCTCTATCGGTCCTTATTTTACTATCTCACAATATATAAATTAGTTAATCTCAAAAAATTTTTTTTTATTTTGTGCAAATAAATGAATATGTAAATTTACTTTCCCCAATTCAATTACCCATGTCGATTTAATGTTGCACATAATTTTTTACACTTTTTAAACATTTTAACCAATTGTTAAAGGTATATTATTGCTATATAATAATTGCTAATTGCAAACACATCCATAAATTTTTTGGGAGGTGTTAAGAAACAGAAATTTGATAAAATTTAATTTTTAATTCTTGAATTTTATTGGCTGGAATGTTTGATTGGAAGCTTCCAATGCACATCACTGCTATTTGTAAATACAAATTCTTATTCAAATTATTTGCTTTATTTATTCATTTATTTGAATAGAAGCCCTAAGTGGAGGTCCCCAAACAATCTTGGGAGTTAAATACCCATTTAATTGGAAAATTTTAACAAAAAATGTCTCATGGAAAGCCACCTCATGTTTTTAATGAATTTGTTAATGTTAATAAAGATGTTTTGATAAATAAAAGCAATTTTCTGGCAATATGCAAGGAATGCATAGTTAGGAAAGGTTTTGATTGGTCATTTAGTGAAGCTGTTAGAAGTAAAATTTCTAACACTGTTCCTTCCATTGAAAAACATCTTATATCTTGTGACAATTTCAAAGTTGTATATCCCAATAGAATTGAATTTGTTAATATACAACTTGAAATAATAAAAAATAAAAGAAATATTGGTAGAACAAGTCAAGGTATAGTAACATTTATATTTAATTTTCAGATGTTGTATTATATAATAATAATAAATAAATAAATCACTATGATACTATAGCTAATGGTGATGTTGAAGATGATACAACTATTTTTAATAATAATTCGCAAAATGAAGTCATTCCAATTCATTCAAATACACCCAGTAACTCTGTTATCCCAAACAAAAGAAAGGATAGTAATAATCACTTGCTGACAATGAAAGATTGAAGCTTTATTTAGACCAGATTTAAATCCACTTGCTGATAGTTCCCTAAATTAAAACTTGGTTTTGTTTTTTTAATAAAAATAATAAATATTTGATTCATTTTTAAACCATTTGTGTTCCAGTTTTGGTTACTGTTCCACAATAAGGTTTCTGGAAAACTGGAATGTGTGTTCCAATTTCCAGTTACTAAAATTTAACAACACTGTATTATAAGGATTATGACTGGTGAAAAAATTGGTCATTGTTTATTTAGTGGGGGAAATGAGATACAAGGCTTGAAAATTTTTAATTTATATAATTCACTCAAAACATTTTATTATGACTTAAGCTACCTTTTGCTAGAGAACCCCCGCATAATAAGTAAAGCCAAATGTTCAGTATCTAAATCTTCTTTCAAGGTTGTCAAACCCACAATAGCCTCAGTATCTGAAATTTCTGAGATCATAGAATCTCCTGAAATCAATGGTACTTTTGAAATTGTCAAACCTAATAATGATGACTCTGAATCACCTTCCAACTTACCTGCAAACAACAAACCTCAGCCCTTGCCCAAGTATGTTTTTAATAACTTGTGCTAGTTTGAATTTTTGTTCTTATTCTCTTATTCTGTTTTTTTTTTATAAAACTCAGTTATCATAATAAATAAAAATATTTCACTTGAATCTTTGATCATTATTCACTTTGCTTAAATTAAATATCAACATAATTAATTCCAGCACAAAAGTTGCTGCCAAAAAACTCTTTGGTTCTTAACATTCTTGAGTTTTTCAGAAAAAATTATTTCAGCATTTAATTAATCATTACTAAATGTGTGCACTAAACTTATTACTCTATAACCTGCGCAAATATTTAGCATCATAATTGTCATTTAGACTATTATACAATTGGACAAGTAAGTCATAATTATAATTGGATTATTGGTGGTTATTATAGTTAATTAATTGTCAAGCTTTCATGATTAATAATTCTTTTCATGCAATGGAGGACCCATGTGACTCACTTAAATATGTTATTAAAGTCCAGCAAGTGGGAGAGTAGAACTCTTGCTAGTGGCTCATACTGGGTGTATTGACCCTTTATCAAATATTGCTTAATCAGGTGATATTATTTGAGACATTGGTCTTTACAATTTTAGTCTAGCACCATTGGTTATAAATTTACGGGTGTTGAGTACCTGGACAATCTGTGATTACTCAATCATTCACCGAATATCCTCTGAATAAATCAATAAAATTCGAACCGATTTGAATCACCTAATTTTTGGTTCAATTCAAACCTGATTCGAACCTATAAATGATTTGATTTGACTTGGTTTGAATCTAATTCAAATATATACCATATGAAATAATTTGAATTCTGCATAATTTTAAAAGAGTTGCCTTTGAAAATAAATGGTTTCAAAAGTCAAAAAATATATTTACTTAGTGCAATAATTGCCTCTTGTTCTATACCATGCCTGTGAAGAGACATCATTTTCAACAATGGAATCATTGTCATTCATCATTGCTATATTTATTATTTAAATTATATTATATACTATTTATTTGTATGCAGAGTTTCTATTTGTAATACAATTTTTATTCGAATTACTCGTTTTATTAGAATAAACATTCAACGTATTTCGAATTCATAACAAATAAAAAAATCATTTGAATAAACCTTATTCAAATAGAAACCCTGTTAATGAGAAATTTAAGAATCCAATTTGATTGAATCCAGTTTTTTTGGAATTCGAGTCATTTTAAAATTCGACTCAACTTGTTTCATTTCGTTTCGTTCGAAGCCTTACCTCCAAATATCCAATTCTGAAGTCTGTGAAGATAAAATAGTATGTTATCTATTTATATGTATTAAAAAAATTACATTCAATTAATTAGCAATAAAAAAAGATTTTCTCAACATATTTTTTTATATTCTAATTCTAAATTTCTAACACCTGGTTAATCGGGAATAATCGATGAATATCATTCGGCGGATATAACCACTAAATCCTAAAAGCTTAACCTTATCTGTATTAGTGTTTAAAAAAAGTGATAAAATGTGATATCCTATGTAAGTTGTGAGGAGGATCTAATACGAATAAAAAAAAGTTCTAAAAGGTTTTTTTTTTTACAAACCAAAAATTTGTTTCCATTTGCTATTTTATGAATGAAATCATTAACAATTATTATATAGTTTGTTAATATTAACCATATAAATCGGGAGACTAAATTTTAAGAATTTATTTTAATGCTGAAATTTATTTATTATATATATTTTCTAATGTGGAAGAGTATTTCTCAATTATTCAATGATATAGCTATTTAATTATAAGAAACAAACAAAACAGAACGAGTAGATATATTATTCTTCGAATAATTAGACCATTTGGGATTTTTATAGATAACTTTAATATTTGCATTTTAATTAGCATTAAATAGATTTTAGTTCATAAAAAAAAATTGGGAACGATACACACGTGGCCTTGCCTACACGGATCTCATTTAACGTGATACATGCAGTCGTTCTTGATCCCGTCGTAGAAAAACGTTGTACAATTTTGTCATGAAGTGACAGTTTTATGGATGAACTTATTAACAATTGGATGAGTCTTTTATTATCGGTTTGTTGATTATAAAGGTAAATTAAGAATTTGTTTTAATGCTGAAATTTGTTATATTATTATTATTCTGCATGTAATTAGATATTTAGAAGTAATATTTTATTTAACATTTTAAAAAAACAGCATGGATTTTATAACTTACACTTTTAAATTGGCATTAAAATTCAATAAATTTGGTGGTCCACTTGTTTCAAATTCATTAAAAGGATTTTTAATAATCAAGTGACTCGAATTTTTGGAAAATTTTAATATATGTTGCAGATCACCCTATTACTATTATATCACAAGTTTATTGTCACAAAAATGATCAATTTCCGCCCACATGCCTGGATTAAAAATTACGTTCTGAACACAATCAACCAATTACATGTTAAAAATATATAAAACAATAATAACACAATAAATAATATATAACATATTATTATAATAATAATTAAACACAAATCATTCATTCTTTTTTTTTTATTCTCAATAAATGTAAAAAAACAAACAATATTTTAAAATTTAATTTGAGGAAAGAAAAAAAATCTTTTTTTAACGAAAATAAAAATAAAAATATTTCATTTGATTAAAACTTTCATTTAATAATTTTTTTATCTTTTTTTCCATTTCATTTAATGAATTACTTTTCATTATTTCGTTATTTAAAAAGATATTCATTAACTCTCATTTTCAAAAAAATATATAAATTCCCAATCTCTTCATTTCCCTTTTTATAATTATTGACTGATTAATACATATAATAATAATGACTCCAAAACATCCTATAATGAATACTTATAATTTTGTAAGTACTTCTGACAAACAAACGCCATTGGATAGGTAAAATATTTATATCAAAATCAAATGAAGAAAATCAATTTATTCAATCAAAATAACAATTATTATTTATTATTAGTTCTCATTTTCGCTTAATTATCAGACAACAGCCGAAACAAGCCCGTTTATGTAATTCAAAAGAACGAGGTAGTAAAAATAAAATATAATTATACATTCATCGAGGATATACAATTACATTTGATTTAACGGTAATAAAATCTTTTTATTAGATCGAAGACCAATCGATCCTCCTCCGATCATTCAACTTAAAGTAGATGAATGTTATGATGAATCACAGTAAGAATCTTATAATAATGGTTATTTTTTGATCAAATTTAATTGTATATTTTAATTGATTAATGTATAAAAAAATGTTAACCAATTAATTATTTAATTTAATTTTAGTAATTATCTTCAAAGTCCATATTTTTTCATGTGTGCAGATTTGGTTCATCCAACAAATAATAGCGAACATTTCTCTATATCTTCAAAATATTTAGCTGGCACTGTTGTTTCGTCTCTTCATAAGCTAAAAGATATTAATAATACTGGTAAATAATAATAATTACTGTTATTGTTATTAACTTCATGTTTATCTTTTATATACTAAATGGTTTTTAAAATAGATGGTGGTTTCTTTGTATTTGGTGATATTTCTATTCGTGTTGAAGGTCGTTATCGTTTAAGATTTAGTTTATTCGAAGTAATAAAGTCAGTGTAATATATATTGTTTGTTTGCAAAAAGATCCAACAAAAAGGTATTTGAAATTAACTAATTATTATTCAAAATATTATTATTTATTAAAATTTAAATTATTATTATTATTACTATATTGGTTAGGCCCAGTGCAGAGAAATTGTTGAGCCATTCTTTTTTTAGGCAAGCTAAAAAAAAGGAATACTTGTATAGTAAATTATTGCAAAGTTTACCACCATTAGAAGATCGGCCACACAAAAGTATAATTAATTTATTGAAATTATTATTTTCTATAAACATATGAAATTTAATGTTACTATAAAAACTTTGTTTATTCTAGGGGTTCAGCAAAAGCCTATTAGCTATACTAAAGGAGTTACATGGGATTTTGCTATTGATAGTGAATATCGAAACGAAGATACATTAATTGAGACAGAAGATATGAAAGTAAAACAAGACAAAAAAGCTGTAAAATTTACAATGCAATCTGAAGAATCTGAAATTGATAATTCAACTAATACTCTGCCAAAAAAATCCAGATTTTCAGTCGAAGGACAACCACAATCAGAAGAGATTATAAAAGGAAGATTCAGTATCATTGAAAGTAATTCATCGAAGGAAAAATCAACCCCAATAAATTTACCAACTGAATCGGATAGTAATGGTCAAAAAATATCTTCGGTGCAAGAACAATCTAATGAAAGTTTATCAGGTGACACTTAAATAATGGTATTTGCTTTACATTATGCAAATTATTTTGATTTTGAATGGTGTTTAAATAATTTCTAAATGGGAATTTTATGAAAATATTTATATATGTGTATATGAAACATAGTTATTCCATCCACAAATACCCCTAATGAAAGTCTTCTCCAGCTCCCTTCATCGCTATCCCGAGATTCCTCTTTACAGAGTGATTCTTCTTCAATTGAGGAGATTTCTCAAGTCAAAAATAATCGATTCCAATCTGGCAGTAGCATTAATACTGAATCACCTACCATCAAAAATACAGAAAAAATAGTGGGCACTAAAAAAGGTAGATTTGAAGTATCAAATTGATGAATGGATCATCGATTACATAAACAACAATAATAAAAAGATTTTTAATATTTAATATTATTGTTTGATTATTTATTATTTATGTTATAAAATATATTCATTTTTTTTAAAATTTGATTAAAAATGAATCCTTTGTCATGTTTTTTGCCCA